GGGGCTGTGCCCCCTGCGACCTTCCCTGGGGGGGGGGGGTGCTGCCCCCCAGCCCCCGCCGAGGAAACAAAACCTCCACCACGTATTCACGGCAGGATAGAGCGCACACGAACTAGATGCGGAGCCGATAACCTACAATAACCTAGGATTTTTAAGTTACTTACCAGATTGATGAATGCCGCTAATTAGTAGGGAGGGTGCTCCTTTGCCGCTGCCCACACCTGCCGACGGAGGAGGCCGTGGCGGAAGCACATCTCTAGCATTTTTTCCTGGCTAGTTGCAATTTCGCGCAGAAAATCCGTCTCCGAATACGAGCACCCTCTACACTCGGCCATCGCGGCGGCTTTGACTGACTTCTGAACGCGACGGTTATTTCGGTTAGGAATACGGATGTCGTTATTCCAGAGGACGGGAAACTCGACCTTGAGGCCATCGGTGTAACATTGAAAAAGGCGCAAAACCCGCCTACGAGGGCGGACCACCCTGTTCATCTTGATTATACTACAATCGTCTCTATATACGGTGCTGACTATGCCAAGGTTAATATGCTGATTTAGTGGGAATCTTACGAGGTAATTGTATTACGCCTGCCGCTCCGACATCGACGATGATTGTGTAACGCTCTAGCCTGCCGGGAATACATAGTGGAGGTTTTGTTTCCTCGGCGGGGGTTTGGGGGAGGCAGCCCCCCCAGGGGGGTCGCAGGGGGCACAGCCCCCTGCAATGGAAAGTTATGTGAATAACCATGGTTATTTTCACTGTGCGTTATATTATTAGTGCTAGTTAACCCCGCATTTTCCCTGGAACCTTTCATGCCCTTCCCTGCTATCGGGGCCAAGTTTGTCGCTAACGGGAGGTTTCCGCGCAATAAAAAACTATATATTTGCAATGTGGAGAGTGAGAGGAATCCAACGATACCAAAATCGTCGATATTGGTTATACGGACGTAATATAGAAAATTACCAAAATTAGTTGGAGAGTAAGCCCCTACCCTGTTATGCATATTGACCGTCAGGTAAACCTTAATGTCAAGTTCACAAGCATAAACATAGTATAAAGTTATAAGCATATAACAAAGGCATAAACAGTGTATCCAAACTTGCTAGTTGACAACGCACAGGATGCAAGTCGAAGGAGTGGCCAGCCTAAATCTTCACAAAACGGGAAAAGTTGAACACGGCGCAGCAGCGGAAGCACACGACGTGACGCGTAGCTCTCTAGCGAGGCTCCGCGGATTCACAACAAAGCGTTTTTGTAGGGCGTTCATATAACTCTAGCGTCACTGTAGCCAGCAAGTTACAAACTAAATGAAATTAAATAATTATTCTTTTGTTGATGAAATAAATCAAATAAACTCTTTATGATCTTAATTCTATGCATATAATATGAAACAAGTACGAGTACGACCAGTAGTGGGACAGTCAGAGCTCGGACAGCTCTCTCAGGCCCCCAAAAGGAAGGGAAAAGTAGTGGAAATCTTCGTTCTAATAATTGTTCTATTGCGTTATTATCGTTCATGTTATTAAAGAAAGAGTTAACTGCAATCGAAAATTCATCCATTTATAACTGCGTATGTTTAATTTTTATCCTTCATATCCGTTGTATTTCTCAGCCTTTTTCTGCCATATCTTGCGCAGACTGATTTCCAGTTATTAGTGAAACAATATTAGATTTTCCTATATTGTGTTGCACCGCATTCCTGCAATTAGCAGATGGAACCTTTCTTCGAATTTGACGTCCCCTGGCCACTGTGGGAGAAGTATAAACCGTATCTTATGTCTGTGTTGAACTGAGAATACACCTTTAATATATATATATATATATATATAATATATATATATATATATATTATTATATATATATAATTTGTATATGATATATATATATATATATATATATATATATATATATATATATATGTGTGTGTGTGCGGGTGCGTGTGCGTATGCTTGTGCGTGTTTGTGTGTGTGTGTGTGTGCGTGTGCGTGTGCGTGTGCGTGTGCGTGTGTGTGTGTGTGTGCAGTCTCTTCAGGAGGGTTGGCGGAGGCCTGCTGGAGCTGAGGATTCTCCATGACTTGCAAGCGCCTCCTCCTACGCCCGACGTGCTACTGCCCACTCGTTCTGCGAGAAGGCCTGGTAGTATCTCTTTATAGGTTGCCAGATGTGCTCAGAAGCTTCTAATCAGATTCTTTGATTAGAAGCAAAATTTAGGTAAATTTGCAAGCATTTATTCCCCAGACTGCAGGCGATTTACACTCCTGGATTTGCGTGTTGCCATTCCGTATTCCGTGTTGCAAACCTTCCTGCAATCAGAGATGGAAACTCTCCGATTTGGTCGCGTCCTTTGTAGGGAGGGTTTACCTCGTACCATATGGCTGGGTTGAATTGAGGAAATCTCTCTTGCTCTCTCTCTATTTATCTATATCTATCTATCTATCTATCTATATACATATATATGTGTGTGTGTGTGTGTGTGTGTGTGTGTGTGTGTGTGTGTGTGTGTGTGTGTGTGTGTGTGTGTGTGTGTGTGTGTGTGTGTGTGTGTGTGTGTGTATGTGTGTGTGTGTATATAATATATGTGTGTGTGTGTGTGTGTGTGTGTGTGTGTGTGTGTGTGTGTGGTGTGTGTGTGTGTGTGTGTGTGTGTGTGTGTGCGGCGCGCGCGCGTGTGTGTGTGTGTGAGTTAATAATTATTTTCATAGCAGTAATTATTGATAATTATAATAGTTATAGCAATAACTGAGTCTAAAGATTATTATAACAATGATTATAAATTCAGTAATTATAACCACGATTATAAGATAAGCAATTATATCAACAATCATAACAATACATAACAGTGACAACGATGACGATAGCAATAATGATAATGATAACCATTATTACCATTATAATCATCATTAACATTATCTTTACCGTCAATATTACTACTGATATTATCATTGTTGCTATCATTCATATCATGTCTACCATTATCATCAATATTATCATTATTTTTACCAATATTATTACTGATTAATATAATCAATATAATTAAGAGTAGATCTCTGGAGGAATTCCTGGGATAAGGAAATCATCCCTTGCTCACTGAAGGAGGGAAACGGCCTTCCTGTGTCCACAAAGGCCAGGCGAAGAACTGCAGACCAGTGGCACCAGCATCTCAAGAATGATATTTGCAAGGTTAGAAAAATGGTCCAGTACCTCGACCAAGGAAACAAGATAAACCCTGGACCGCATGGCTTCAGAAAGGGCAGCTCCTTTCTGTCAGATCGTGAACCACTGCGAGGACACATGCGGAGAGAGAATAAAGAATTTGATGCAATATATTTAGACTTTCCAAAAGCTTTCCATAAAGTTACACCATGGAATTCTACTCCATAAGCTTGAGGGTTCTTGGGATCTGAGAAAAGGGAGGAATATAGATAAAAGGTTTCAAACAAATTGCAAGGGAAAATAATAATGGATATCATTCCAATGAATCAACTGTTAGAAGTGGAGTGCCACAAGGCTCAGTTCTTGGGCCCTGTTGTTCCTAGTCACAACCAGGGACATTGATGCAGATGTAAAACACCAGAAAAAGCATCTGTTGTAGATGATACTAAATAGGATAAGTACACTATTACGTTTAATAGAGAATCAAGTAAAGTAAGAGAGGCTCTGCAAGCCATTTGTAAACTGCATGACCTTCATTGCTGATGAATTTAAAGTCATAAGATATAATCTAATCAGTAGTCCAAGACCAAGATCATGTTCTGCTGAAGGAGTAGAGATTAAAGAAAGGGTTGTAAAAGACCTAGCAAGCACTGCGATAACACATGATAAGAGGGTAACTGAGAATCAAGAATTTGATGTAAAATATTTAGACTTTCCAAAAGCTTTCGATAAAATCGACCATGGAATTCTACTCCATAAGCTAATGGTCGTTGGATTCAGAGGATAAGTAGGAATATGGATGCATGGTTTCCTATCCAAGTGCAAGCCAAAAGTTATTATTAATGATTTATCAATTAACTGATTAATGATAGCAGTGGTACCACAAGGCTCAGTTCTTGGACCATTGCTGTTCCTGTTTACAGCCAATGCAAATATTTCACACCAGAGAAAAAATGTTTTGCTGATGATACTAAGATAAGTGCATCTTTAGATTTAACAGAGGATAAAGACAAACTAAGGAGGACCTGCATGCCCTGTGTAAATGGGCAACCCAGACCATTAAGACCTTCATGCTGATGAATTTAAAATCATAACTAGAAGTCCAAGACCAAGATCCTGTTCTGCTGAAGGAATAGAGATTAAAGAAAAGGAAGTTGTAAAAGACCTGTCTGCCCACGAGTAGTGAACAGCCACCGCACAGAGCAGGCAGCCAATAGAGGAAAGGAGATGAGCGGATGGAAGACGAGGACTTTCCAGACAAGAAATCCAGGATACTTTCTGCCATTGTGGAAACGCCGGCGCTTCCGAGAGGGGAACGCCAGCGCCTAGTATGGAATCCGAACCTCACGAAAGACATTACTAGAACCAGTTCAGTGTTTTCAACTTAAAAAATATACAGCATTTTGGTATTGGAAAAGACTAAAACAATTGAAGATTTTCTCTTTACAAAGACGGAGGGAAAAATACCTCATAATACATATACATACATACATATTTATGCATATATATATATATATATATATATATATATATATATATATATATATAATGTATAATATATATTTATATATATATATATATATATATATATATATATATATAATGTATACATATATATATATATATATATATATATATATATATATATATATATGTTGTGTGTGTGTGTGTGTGTGTGTGTGTGTGTGCGCGTGTGTGTGTGTGCGCGCGTGTGTGCGTATGTGTGTGTGTGTGTGTGTATGTATGTATGTATGTATGTATGTATATATACACACACATATATATGTGCGTGTATATATACAAGGTTTTAACTTTCTGTATTAATACTGGCAGGTAAAGTAATATACTTTTATGGCTTAACTCTTTATTGCTAAGAGTTTACACACAAGCAGAAATAAATGCGAAGCGAGATGGTCAGCGGATGGCCCTGGGGGCGCGGGCCGACGTTCCTCTCTCTCTGACCGCATGAAGAGAGGGAAAGGTCAAGCGGGGTCGCCTTGTATCCGACCATGGTGGTGCGAGAGCCATGGAGCGTGGCTTGCGGGGCACAAGCGGGGCACCTGCGGGGCACCAGCGGGGCACAAGCGGGGCACCAGTGGGGCATGTTGCTCATGTGGAACCACGAATCCCGAGGTCGGTGAGCTTGCATGATGCGTGATGTTATGCAGTATGATACAGAGTGTGTGTGTGAGAATGATTGCTTTTATATTACACACACACACACATATATAATATTCAACTTTGATTAATTAATCAATTTGTAAATAGTCCCTATTCCAAATTCAGTACAAAGTGTGTATGCAGTGAATCAGCGGTGGTGGTGATGGGGAAGGGGCCCATGCCCATCTGCGTATGGCTGCTTGGCTGGCAGATGGAGGTGGGCTGAGACACTTGGTTAGTTGCCAGAGGGTTGGTGGAGAGCAGGCTACCCTGGGGGTGCACCGGCCGCGGCCCTGTCGGGCGACCTGCCATTCCTGCTGCACAGGGGAGAGAGGTGCTGGTTACTTACAGAGTTTAAGTCAGTTTGAATTTGCTATGCTAAGGACAATTACAGATAAAGGATTTGACAGAAAATACTATCTTACATCAACTAAACACACACAAAATAAATAAACCCAAAGTTAAGTGACACTGTGCGACTGCTTGTAAAATGGTCTTTCAAATCTGAAGAGCAAAGCCTTCTTCCACCACAAACAGGTCCTTACCGATGCTGCTGGCTCCTGATGTGGTTGGAGTAAGGATCGGACTCGGAGCCACAAGGGAGCCCGGTGGCCCTGGTGCCCTGGAGGGCCAGGTGGGCAGGGGGTCCTGGTGGCCCTGGGGCCCAGGAGGTCTGGAGGTCCAGGAGGACCCTGAGGGCCCTGGGGTCCTGTCATCCCTGGAGTGGTCTGTTTCCTCTGGAGACGCTTCTCTTCCATCTCCTTCTGAATCTTGTAGATTTTCTCACCAAGGAGGTGGTAGTACTCAACCTATAGGGAATGGGGTGCGGGTGACATTAGCATGGGATTTTCACACAAACTCAACTTGATAAAAACACAGCTTATTCCTTACATAAAACTTTATGAGCATAATCCCTGAACCTATAGGTTAGAAATAAGATGCACAAGAATTATCATACACATGTATCAAAAATAACTAGTTAATAACGTGAACTGAAATCATAAGAGAATGTAGTTCATCATCATCATCATCAAGGGGGCTGACGCCGACGGGGGCGCATAGCCTTCTTCACGAAAGGTTCGGTCGATCTGCCCAAGCCATGACTTCCTAGGTCCCACAGGCCTCCTCCACCCAGGGTTGTCTCGAACAGAGACGACCTGATGGGCAGGATCATCCTGAGGAAAGCGAGCCAGGTGGCCGTATAGCCTGAGTTGGCGATCACGGATTGTGCAGATAACAGGGCTTGTGCCAGTCTCACGGTGCAACCGTTGGTTGGACACATGGTCCCGCCAACAGTACCCCATGATCTGGCGCAAGGACCTATTGCAAAAGGCTTCAAGACGAGCCTCCAAGGCACAGGACAATGTCCAGGTTTCGCTACCGTATAGCAAAACTGGCATTATCAGGGCCTTGAAAACCCGTAGCTTGGTCCTTCTGCACAGGTACCGACATCTCCAAATACTCTTGTTGAGAGAGTTCATGACCCCTGCTGCCAGGCCAATCCGTCTGCTGACTTCATGGTCTGACAGCCCAGAGTTATGAACTACACTACCAAGGTATGTAAAGCTCTCTGTGACTTCAATGTCCTCGCCGCAAGCACGTACCGACTGAACAGGTTCTCCTAACAAGTCCCCAAATTCCTGGACCTTGGTCTTGGTCCAGGAGACCTCTAGACCCAGGGGCTTCGCTTCATTGCTAAATGCATCGAGAGCCGCCACTAGGGTTTCCAAAGACTCAGATAGAATGGCAACGTCATCAGCAAAGTCAAGGTCTGTAACCTTGATATTGCCCAGCGTTGCCCCACAATGACTTTGAACAGTAGCTCTGCCCAGTATCCAGTCCATGCAAGTGTTGAAAAGAGTTGGTGCAAGGACACAGCCTTGCCTCACTCCTGAACTAACAGGAAAGAAGCTCGACAGGCCCCCACCACACTTTACAGCACTTTCAGTACCAGTATACAGGCTTGCTATTAGTCCAATAATCCTTGTTGGTATTCCTCTCAGCCTCAGGATCTCCCAAAGTGACTCCCGATGCACCGTATCGAACGCCTTCTTGAGGTCGATGTAGGCTGCAAGCAGCCCACGCCCGAACTCACGACGGCGCTCTACAATGACTCGAAGCGCGAGGATACGGTCTATTGTGGACTTACCAGGAGTGAATCCGGATTGCTCCAGTCTCTGGTGCCTC